CTTTTCCTTCCCTCAGCTTTTATTCTCGCTCCCTGCAGCTTGTGTGGCGATGGCCAGAGCAGGCGGCGAAAGCCGGGGTGATGTGTCCTACACAGCCATGAATTCACTCAGGGCTGGCCAGCTGACACAATTTCCTCACACAGCTCAAAGGCTGTGCTCTGAGCATCCGGGGCAGACACAGGATGCTGGTGGGTGTGAGAAAGGGCTTGGCAGATGACTAGCCCAAAGGCCTGACCCGATGGGTAAGCGTGTGTCAGCCTCCAGCATTAATGCCAGGCTTAGGGCAGGCTCCCTTTTGGCTCGGATTTTCCGTGTTTACTGTAGTTACAGGACAACATTTACAAAGAGAGGGTTACACAAGTGATTTTAAAGAGGCAGGGTGAGAACACAGCCTATTGTTAAGGCAGCACTTTCCACCACCAGACCCAGCTCTGATTTGTTTCCAACACTTCAGAGCCACTTGCTCTGAAATTGTCCAAGCTGTTGATGAAATTCCCATGCTATTCTGCAGGCCCTTTGGAAAAAAAGGGATTTGCAACCCCCATCCCATGGTATGTACATATGCACACCCATGCAGATGGAGAAAATGAACTTCAGTGCATACAGACAACCTGAATTTTGGCAGATTCTCAGGATGAGTAGTTTGCTAAAATAGTTGATTTCTAAGAAAATAAGTTGGAACGTAGAGAACTCTAACAATCCCTTGTCTTGGGTCACCAGCAAGGTTCAGTAGTTTGGAACTGCACCAGACTCTGCTCCTCAGCACCAGCCACAGGAGGTGGGTGGCACTGCACACCTTGGCCAGAATTTTACCCATTTATCTGATGACACCAAGGAAGAAAAATATGAGAGATTACAACTGGGGGAAGGAAAAATCTCTGCATTCTCCACACCTACTGTCCATCCCAACACTCATCTCAGTGCCATGTGGGTCTCTACTCTCTCCCATAGGCTCTTTTCCATCCCCTTCTTCCCACCCTCATGTCCTGCAGTCCTGCTGTCCCAGTCCCCTTCCTGTGCTCACCCTGCCAGACTCTGGCCAAGCAGCTCCTTGCTCTTCTCCCTGTTCAGCAAAGCACAAACATGAGGGCTACAAACCAAAACCAACGGGCAACAACAGACCTGAGGCTTGGTCCTGGCAGCATCATCTCTCTTATCTCTTACAACTCCCAGGGAAGGAGGTTTCCTGGCCTCCCTAGGTGGTCTTGCAACAGTTTTATGATGGTAACAGGATGTTTTCACAACATCCAGCCTAAATCATCCTGGCAAATTAGCAAATCAGTAAATTAAACTGCTATGGAAATCTGGGAGTTTAATAACCACTATTACATGTTGGCAGACTGCTGGATTGCACAATGGTTTTCTTTTTGCTGCAGCGAATAAATTTAGTTCTTTCAATCTCTTCTCACATTTCTTAATCTCTTCTCATTGTTCCCTTCTGGACACTTTCCAATCTCCCTTGTCTTCCTCTGAGCAGGGCACCCCAAGCTGGATTTGATGGCACTGATGATGGCTCCACAGTGCCACACATGAGTACGTCACCTCCCTCACCTTGCGGAGGACACTCCTTCAAATATAACTCCAAACAAGACTTGTCTCTCTTGCAATAGCTCTTCCAGTTGGTTCATTTGTAATCCACTACAAATCCTCAGCCTTATTTTAACCTATCCCTCTCCAGCTTAAAGCTGACTTGATAAAAGTGCATTTTGCCTTCTCCTTTGCAAATGCAGCACTCACTGTCTGCTTTTATCTCTTATCTGGATGTGCTTTCCAATTTCTTAAGGTCATTCTGAACCCTGACCCTGTTCTCTCAAGTGCCTACAATCCCTCCTGACCTGATATCATCTGAGTGTTATAAACATACCTCCATCTTCCAAATCATGACTGAAATATTGCAAGTTTCCCCCCAGAAAGTGACCTTGTTGATATATCAATTGTTATTGCATTATTGGATCAGTGGAGAGATGTAAGTGCAAGAGTTTTCTAAGCTTCATTCTCAGCAATTTTTTGAAAACACACACATTAATTAAATACTGGTTCCTCTGGTAAAGGCAGGATGCATTCAATTCAATAGGAACTAACTAATACAGTTAATAAATGCAATGGGAAGGCTATTTCCCAGTGAACTCTGTCCTAAGGTCAGCCAGCTACAACTTCTCAGTCACAGGCTCAGACAACCCAGCAGCACAACCTTATCCATCCTGCCACATGAAGACAAAGATTCAGCAAATAATGAATCACAACCAATTTCTGGGATCAACACAACAGAAGCATATCAAGGTACAGTTCATTTAAAACTGCTGCTTTACTCTTATGATGCTGCAGCCACAGGCTCCATTTTAAATTATTTTAATATTGCAGCATGCAGAAGCCAAACCAAATTTCTCATCAGAGTTAAAAATTAGTCCATTTTAAAAACAATGAAGTCTCATTTTAATAGGATCACATCAAGTGATTGTCCCAGCTCTACTCAAGATTCCCAAACTAAGCAGGAAGATAAGGAGCAGGAGGGTCTCCATCAGGATAAGCAACATGCAAGGAGCCTGGGAAATTCTGGTTACTGAGTTTTACAGCTGAACAGATACAAACTCTGAGAAAATATTCTGGAAACTTAAGAAATACATAATTTAAAAACTCATTTTAATTGGAAAAAACATATTTCCATTATTTTCTCTTAAGTGCTTATAACCCTATAGACCATTATTTTCCTAAACATTTTTTAATAGCAGCTTTTCCATAACACATGCAAGAGTCTTCTGAAATGACTACAGGAGAAAGTGTGAGATCTCACATCTGTAACACTGGCATCACAGATCCAGCTAATTCTAAAAATGCTTCACAGTTTTTCATTCTTCAGAACCCAGCTTAGAAGAGTTATCCCCCTTCTCTCTCCAGAGTACTCAAGCTCCTGTCCTTCAGCCTGACTGAACTATACAAGAAATTGCACTGTTTAAATTTCAAGACTGTTTTTTTCTTAGTAACTTGTGCTTATGAAAAGCAGTGTGCAAATTTCTCACCCATAAAACAGGAGTTAGCAATAATTCCCACGATCCAAAACTGCTGACAGCACCAGTGAGGCTGCAAAATACCTGCAGCTCCTGACCAGGGGCAAGCAGCAACACTTCTATTCGCAGCAAGTTAAGAAAACCACCTTTACTAACCACAAAATGGTCTGTAATGAGAGGCCAATGAGCACCTGGAAGACTCCTGGCTACAGAAAGCAGCAGCACTAAATAAAGCAGAGTCAGGACGTGGCAGGAGAGGCACAAAGCGCGATGGTGGCTTTCACCAGCCGCCTCCGACCCAGCCCACATGTGTGAATTAAACTCTATTTATAAGCCTTACACTCCTTTTTGGTTGGGATTTTTTTTCTTTTTTTTTTTTTTTAATGACCTTAATATAGTGCAGTTGTTATTTTGTTTCTGTCGAACGTAGCAACAGGAACCCTGTCAGTCCTGCAGCAAACTTTCCATTCCCCTGGCACTCCCATTCCTGCCTCGGAAAAGCCAGATTTCTAAAGAGGTGTTTGACAGGGTGGGAGGGAGAGGAAGAAGAGAAGAAAGAACACACACAAAACCCAAAACGCCTGGAAAACATGCAAAATGGAAGCTAAATTCAATACTCTTTTTTTTTTTTTTTATTTTCTCCTTGTCTGAAAGTAAAAGGCTGTGTCCTAAATTGCATTTTCCAAAGATTTCTTACTTCATTACCAGATTTGGAAGTATTGGTCAGGAAATTTACCTTTAATAAAGGGTCAGTTAAAAAAATAAAAATTCAGTAGCATCTTTCTACTCACATATTCCAGTAATGAAAGACTTCCATATCAGACAGCACAAATTTTGGCTTGGAAAGTTATTTTCTCTAGTCCCTCGCTAACTCACCAAGCAAACAGCTACAGAAATTAAGCCTTAACTTGTTAAAAACATAATAAACCTGATTTTATTACAAGCTTTGGCAAGACTGTTCTGCTGCTCAAAGAGCTTTACTGCATGATGAGCAAAGATTTTTGGAGCTCCACCCTGCACTGTAAACTCATCCCAACAGTATTTTCTCTTTTAACAGCTTCATATTGGTAGGGAAGACACAAACACAGCTGCTCAAAGGCAACGTGCTCCAATACAAGGCTGCCATCAATTTGCCATTTACAAAAAACTTTTTCAGGAACACAAAACCACACATAAAATACAGGAGCAAATACAAATCCATCTAAGAAAGGTAACACCAAAAAAGCCTCAGCTATTGGTAAAGCAGAACTTGTAGTGGTGGTGCTTTAAATGAAAATTATGTTCATGTAAAGCTAAATATCAACCTTTTTTTTATATAATCACAAATAATCCTTCAATATGGCAAAGAATAAGTAATAAAATACAATATCAATGGATTCCTGATTCCTGGCATGACTTTTTTATACTGTTTCACTGACATGAGGAATATGACATTTCCCCCCACATTTGATCCCTATATATCCTCCCATTATTCATTTTTCTTCCAGCTAAGGCACAAATACTCCCAGCCCATGATGCTTTTAGACTTTGGAGTCTGTGCACACACCAACATAAACCACAGCCATGGTTCCCTCTGCCAAAACCTCCCTGGAAACACAAAGCACCAGAAGGGATGGACAGACTCTCCAGGACCACCCTGGCAGCAGCAGCACAGGGACCTTGAAGGTGCTGCTGGCCCCACACAGCATCACCAACCTCAAACGCATTCCAGGACGTGGCTTTTGTCAAATCACACACAAATCTTGTGCAAGGCACAACCTTGATCCATGAGGAACCTCTTGGCTCAATCTGTCTGTGACTGGCTGAGAAAATACAAATGTGCCTGAATCCAGCAGTTGAAAATGCAAGGGCTAGAAAAGCCCAGGCTATATTTAAAAGGCTAAAGCAATGTCACTGGACATTGTTCAGCTTTGCAGAGGCTACAGAAAGGAAACCAGCAGGTCACATTTCTTTATAAAGCACAGCAATGGACAAGGTGACAACACCTGCACTCACCACTTCCTCTGTGCCGTGTTTCTGAAAATCCACCTCGTCCTCAGTTTTCATTTCCAACATCCCTGTGCAAACAGAAGATCCACAAAGGCAATTTAAAAACAAACTTCTTTCATTGCTACTAACATTTTTTGTTTACTCAAACCAGTGCCCCCTCCCCCCCAAAAAAAGAAAAGAAAACCCAACCCCCAAGGCCCTTCAACAAGTCCATTTGAACCCCTACAAGACCATTTGATTTCCAAATTCTGGTTTCATTGCTGACTTCACTGCTTCCTTGCTATCCATTTTAACAATTATCCTATCTGGGACTGAAGGAAACAATGAAATAGCAGCAAGCATAGGGTGAAATTCCTGACAACCTGTAGATGAGGTCAAGCACATCTGCAGGTATTCGTTCATGTATTTTCTTGGCTCCCATTCATCTACATGTACAATCAAACTTTTTGCTGTTTTTCTCCTTAGCATAACTCAAAGATAACACAAGAAACCAACCTTGTCTGCCCTCAATATCTATTTTAAGCATTGCAAAAAAAAAAAAAAAAAAAAAAAAAAAAAGAAATCACAAGCTGCAAAAACTCAACCCACCAGCACTGCCTCATGGATGAGAGAATCACCCTGCTGGACTAGCAAAGCAAAACCTTTGCTGCTGGAGTTTACAAAGTCCCAGCTGACTTTCCCCTTCTCCACGCTCTCGTGACGGTGTCACCACCACAGTTGTACAAATTTCAGGTCCCAGCTGCTTCCTCTGCCCAGCCAAGTTTTCATGAGTCACCATTCCCCAGGGGTTCCCCCTGCTTACCTTTCCCTGGCAGGAAGTCAACATCGTCATTCTCTTTGATCCCTAAGCTGAGGACTCTCATGACACACAGGACACTTTCAGGGCAGTGAAGTGATTTGACCAAAGCCACCCCGATGAAGAGTGGCTGTGTCAGGGCTAAACTCCCCTCTAAACCCACTCCCCCTCTCATTTCTACTGAAAACAAACCCTGGATGGATGGCAACGCCTTCTTAAGGGCGACGTGTGCTTGCAGTGAGTTTAGCCCTACAGGGATTTAGCAAGAGGAGCCTCCCATTTTCATGGGGAAATCATCCTAACAATTGTAACTAATGGTTTTTCACTGCCTTTAATGTCTACCCTTGTTTTTTGGGACGATCTGGTTTTGCAATGATTTTGCCTTGATTGCATGAATTTGTGGGCAGACTCAAAAATCAGAGATAACGCTACAAATTTCTGTGAGATCCTGTTGCTGGGAAATCTGCTCAGGGTCATGGCAATGCCACCATGATTGAGATCCTGATCCAAAGACAGAACATGCAAGTAAGAAACATTTGGTGCACTGAGGATGGGAGAAGCAAGCTCACTCTGCGGGGTAAGAAATGGAGAATGAAGACATTTAGCCCTCAGGATGAAATTCAAGACAATTTTTTCAATTCTTCCTAAATTTCTGTTAAGAAATATCCCAAAGGAAAAGCACTATAAAGCTATCACAGAGGTCTCTGGATGTAGTGCCTCTTATTGCAAGTGTGGAACCATTACTGACAATTGTTACCTGCTCATCCTGCCACTCTAACAGGGGAAGGAAATCATTCCAAGAGCTTTTCCATAGGGAAAATGCTACCAATAAAAATGAGGCAAAGACTCATATTCTGTCAAGGAATATTTTCTTGAAATGCTGAGATCTACAGGAGATATTTCTCCCAGCAGAGCAGCTAAGGAGCAGTAATTACAGTATTTGTTATTTAAGATGGCAGACCCCAATAATACAATCTAACCTTGCTTGGTTTGGTTTCTGCCAAGAAACTGCAAATACTCCAAGGTGTTTTGTCAGCACAAACCCACGGCATCTCTTCTCTACTCTTCTCACCCAGCCAGGCTAGTGGTATGATTTCATAACCTAACTCCTTTCTTTTTTAATGAGTAGCATCTACCTGCCTGACTTGCAGATAATGTGCTTGCAGAACCCATTACTCAGCTGTAATGCAGATCTGAGTCTAAAGCCAACAGTAGGAGGAGATGCCTCAGGAAAGCAGGATCTACTTCATCAGCTTCCTCAGGGTTGTGACCAGTCACTAGATACCTGTCTGGATAAGGAAATTGGCCTTTTGAAGTCTTTGTTTTGGGGGGTAGGCGGAAACTAAGCAGAGACAATGAGATAAACAGGTGTATATCTGGGAGCAGCTTCACAATATAAATAAAAAAATTAAAGACCTCAATGATCTGGAGTAATGGCAACAGCAATTATCAGCTGATTACATCGCTGATAAATCACCATGACAATAAACCCCTCTGACTACACGAGTTTCTGAGAAATGGCCTTGTGACCTACACTTCCTTTGGGAAGGTTTTATTGTATTCCACCAAAAAAAGATGTGACTCATCCTGAGAACTGACAAGTCCGATTTCAGCACGGATACAAAATCCTCTGTACAAATCCAGACCTCAGGGAAAACTCCCCAGAATGGGCACAGCAGAAAAAAATTGAAGGCTGCCACTGAACTCATATAAAAAACGTGCTACCCAAGGCTAGACACCAACATGAAAAATGTACACAGCAACAATTATAAACAACAAATCACTTCTATTGAATTACTGCCATATCAGAGTTCTAGATGGTGCTCTATAGGAGATCAGTGTCAGACATATTCCAAATAGCGAGCTTGGATTCATAGCAGTCACTTGCCTCTGCTTAAAGCCGATTTTTTTTTTGGGCTTCCCCAACATTTTGATTCAAAATAATCCTAAAGTACTTCAAGAGAAAATATGACAATTTAAATTTTGTTTTGTGTGGCATCTCATTGCACATAAACAATTTCTGCTCAAGGACAGGTCAGACCATATTATTCCAAGACCTTTCAGCCATAAATCCTTATGTATTTTAAATCAGTAACAGGATCACCTCCTTTTTTTCCTCCCCTTTCCATGTCCTAATACAGAATGATGACTTAACAATACTTCCCTACTTTAGCTACTATCTTATTGGACTGTCTGGTCCCTTTTCCTGTTCAAACCTCACCTAGACAGTGTCATGGCACCAAGAATCCAAGCAGAGGTAAAGACCTGGACTGTACAGACAGAGCTGGCAGAGCCAGAGGCCCCTAGGAAAAGAAGTCTGACTTACAGCCACTCCCATCTACTGAACTGTCAAACCAACACAGCATTAAAACAGGTTCTTTCTGAAAATAGTTTTCTAATACAATTTTCAGATCTTTCTACTTATTTACTAGTGATCTCTTTACTCATGTTTAGTGGTTAGCTCTTGACATACAAACATGCAAAAAATCCTGAACTTAACAAAAAATTGATTTGTTGGACCCTCCACTGACACCCTCCTCCCCTCCTGCCTTCAATTATTCTGCTGTCACATATCAGAATAAACTCTCTACCATCACCCCATGCTACACTTAGACTGAAGAAACAGCTCTCAGCATTAGAGCAGTGAAACAGCTTTATAACTTCACAACTTCACGATTTATATCATGGCAGATTTTCTTTAAATCATTTAAATGCTTTGTTTGATTGCCGGTTTGTTAGGTGCATGGAAAGTGAGAGGCACTGTATCATTTTCTCAGAGCAAAGAAAAAATGGCAACTGAAAAAGTTCAGCTGCTTCCATTTAACAGCTGCCTGAACAGGTGGGGTACACAGATCAGATTAGCTCCATGCTTCAGCACCAAATTCACCTACCATTAAATCCCAGGCTGGAGCAACAAACCCATTTCTTTTTCATTCCATGTACCCCTTTATCTCCCTTCCTGGAGTTACCTGGTGATGTTTTCCATTAGCTCCTGCTGCGTGGAGGCTTCTATGCTGTCTCCCAGGTCCCACTTCTCTCTCCCATCACCGCTCATCCACGGGGAAGGCCAGCCCCACTTCCCAGCCCACAGGAGCCAGTAAAACTCATCACCCAAGTTCCAGCACTGCTGAAATGCTCTGGCAAACACCACCAGCTGCTCTGCCTGACAAAAAAGCTCTGAAGCCCGGAAAAGGCGGCGGGGGAAGGGCTCAGTGGCTGTTTTAAATGACCTAATGCTGCCAATTAGGAAGCAGCTTGGGGCAGTTCAGAGGGACACTGGCAGCTGGCTCACTTTGACAAGCAAAGAAAATCAGGAGAGTCCCATTTTACCCACTGGCTCCACACCAGCAAAAATAAAGGGGAAAAGCAAAGGGGTAACACCAAGGAAAGAAACCCTCATGCCCACATGAAAGCTTATAACTTTAAGATAAAGTAATCCAAATAGTTCAAGCCCATTCATTTCTTGTCCAGCAAGCATTTACATGCTAGAAATTCTTCTATACAAATTCATAGGAGATGATGCTCTGTTCTTACCTCCAGTGCCAGACAAGCAGCATGTATCTAAATTGGAAGTTTTTATATGTAACTAACTACAAATTTCTTGTTTCCCAGAAGAAAAACCTCAAACACTTCCTCTCCAACACAAGCATCCAGCTCATACTTCCTTTCTTTGCTGATGACGTGACAGAGACACGCCTACAAAGAAAAACCTAAAAAGTAAAAAACCAATTGATTTTTCCTACCTGTAACAGGCTCAGCTCCTTGCACTGCCAGGCTGACATTCCTCTTCTTTGTTGAGGAACTGCAATCCATTTCTCCATTAAGGCTGGCTCTGGCATCCACTGCAGTCTGGGCCACAAGCCCCGCTTTTTCTGCGGCAGGTACTTCGGGGGAACAAGGTGTGTCTGCTGCAAAAACCACTGCATCAAAACTTTTCACCATTTTAGGAACTTTATCCAGAGACGAGGCACTGTTAGCCGATACCAAACTCTTCACTCCCGCATTTTCCAGCGGCTCCAGAGGCTGCAGGTGGCAGGAACACGGCGAGAAGGGCGCTGCAGGTACAGCTCGGCTTTGCTTTCCATGGGGCTCAGCCAAGCCCTCGCCCTGAGCCCCTGCCAGGGCAGTGTCACTGTCCCCAGCCGGACAGACGGTGTCGGTGCTGGAGTCACTGTCACATGTGGGCTCCTCTGCGATGGGCTGGAGCGCTGCGCGGGGCAGCACGCTCTCCGTGTCCTCCTGCTGCTCTGCAAATGCTGCAACAGGGGCTATTGTCACTGTCCTTGGCACCTCCTTACCCTCACAGGTGTCACTCAGGGCTCCCACCTCTGAGGCGTCCTTTAACTCGGGGGTGCTGCTGTGGGGGCAGATCTGTGGTAGGGTTTGAGTGGGGTCTTGTTCTTGGTTGAGCCCAGCATTCGGACAAGGGTCACTCTCTGCACCCAGTGACTCATCTGCTGATGCAGGTCCATGCATGGTGCCTTCTGCTGCAACTGCAGCCTTGCAATCTTCTTTGGGTTGGTGTGTCGCTTTCAGCCCAGCATCCACACTGCTGCTGCTCACCATAGGCCCCTCCAGACTGCAGGAGGGGGGTTTCACAACAGCAGCAAGAAGTTCCTCCGACAAAACCTGCTCATGAGCCTCCTGCTCAGGCTCAGCTTTGCCTCCTTCAGCTTGCTGCAAGTGGCCCTGCCTAGGGGAGCTCTCGTCCCCAGCATGGTCCCCAGGCCAGGTGGCAGCTACCCCGCCATGCTCCCCACCGTGCTGCCAGGCGAGCTCTGCCGAGCCTGCCCTCGCCGCCACCGCTTCCTGGTTTTGTTTAGATTCCTCATTATGAGTTGCAGAGGGTGTGCCCAATAAATTATCCTCGGCACAGTCTGAGCCCTTGGCACACGGAGCGGATCCAGGGTCATTACCTTGCAGAGATGCCTCCTGCCCGGGAGGTGCCACTGCAGCATCTCCCTCCTGACTCACAGCTGGCCCCTCTCTGGGTAGGGGAGATTCCACCTTGCTCCTCCCCTCCTGCTCTGAAGTGCTTTCTGCTTTCTCTGCTCCAGCCTGGGCAGGCTCTTTCTCTGCCAGGCCTGTGCTCACATCCTCTGGAGGGAGCGATGCAGGCTCACGTTCCTCACGTTCACCCTGCTGAGCGCTGTCTGGTTTGAAGCTGTTGCCCATTTCACCTTTAACACCAGCTTGAGCAGCAGAAGGGGCACAGGCAGCAACTTCCTGAGCACCGCCTGCAGAATCTCTGCTTCCTCCATCTCTGCAGCTGCTGGTATCAGTTCCTACTGCCTCCTTTTCACTGCTCTCCATGGCTGCAGCCCCATGGTCAGCAATCTCACCACTCTCCTGGCAATGTGCGGCTTCTGCACCACTTTCATTAGATCCACCAACATCTCCGTTTGCAGGCTCAGCATCAGGGCCATCAGTTTCCACACTGTCTTCCAGTGAGGGCAGGGTGGATTTTCCATCTGTGCAGCCTGCTTCCACCAGCCCTTCTTGCTCCCCACTCTCACTGCTGCCATGGACTTCCAAGTCAGATGTGCACGCAGGAACCTGCACCCCATTCACTGCTGGCAGTGCATCTGCAGGGCTTGCAGTGACCTCCTGCCTTGCTGTGACACTGCCATCACCCTGGCCTTCCGTGAAGTCACCATTTACCCGAGCAGTGCACGAATCCACATCAGTCTCTTTGTTTCTGCTGGTCTTGCAAAGGTCATCAGAGCCACTGCTAATGACACCACCTGCATTTGCACCGTCACAGGCTGGTACTACTCCCACATCTGCATCCTCCCCATCCGAACACTCAGCGCCGTTGAAACCACTGAGCAAGGGCTGAGCAGTGCTGGATGACTCTTCCTTAGCTGGGTATTTCTCTTCCAGCCTTGCAGTCCTCTCAGCAGGCTCTGCCAGCCCATCCTCTGCCTGCCGCTGGCCCTTAGCCCTCTCAGGTGCCCCGGCACAGTTCCTGCACTCAGTCTGGCCCATGGCCACATCCAGGCCCTCCGAGGGAGCTGGGGCTTCACCTGCAGCTGCAGCCACAGCAGCAGCACTGACAGCAAGCTCCTCTGCAGTTTGCACTTCCTGATGGGCACTGTCTGTGCTGCTCACGCCAGCCTGATCCAGAACAACTCCAGCCGATGTCATTCCAGCTTCCTCATTTGTATTTCCAGAGCATGGAAGATTTACAGCACCATTTACACTTGCACATGAGCTCTCAGTGCAGTCCTCATCTGATACGGTCCCAGAGCCCTTGGCAGATCTTAGCCCCGCCTCTCCTTCCTTTTTACACAATATCTCTGTGTTTTTACTTTCACAGAAGCTGGCTGGGCTGTTTGCACCCCCCAGGCTAACCATGTCTTTTGGTGCATCATTAAAAGCCCCCAGACTGCTGCTGTTGCATTTCTCCTCCTGCTGGGCTTGGTCTGAGAGCTGCCTGCTGTCCAGGTGAACCAGATCAGATGGGTTTTCCTGCCTTTCTTCTTTTGCCATTTCTTCTAGGCTCTGAGAGGTGGTGGTCACAGGACCCTCTGCTCCTTTAGTACAGCTGTCTCCAGAATCTCCCAGTACAGGCTCTGTCTGCTGCCTTAAACTCTGTAACAACACACAAAAGAAGAAAAAAACCAGGTTTATTCCGTCATGCAGTTACTCAAGACCTGTATCTACATGAATCCTATTCCTGGTGCTACAAATGTACTGCAGTGGATATTTTTAATGTTGGTTTTATTAACAAGAGATAATACTGAAATTATTAGAATGAAAGAAACATTGGTTGAAAAGAACATCTAAAGGTTATCTAGCCCAACCACCTGCCTGAAACTGGCCTACTGCCACTGCAGCATCAGGTCAACCATGACTTTATCTTGCCAAACCTCCAATGACTGAGTACCCACAGCCTCTCTGGACAATCTGCTCCCATGCCACACCACCCTCCCATGAAGAATTTTCCCTAAAGCCAGCCTGAACAACCCAAAGATGAAATTTGTCTCTCTACCCCCCTGCTACACCATCTGCCATCACTGAAAAGAACTGTAATCTTGGAAATTGCTCTTTGAGAAGCTGTAGTCTCAGTTCTTGAGTGCACTTAAATTCAAGATAGTAAACAGCAGAATTCAGTCTACCAAATAATGCAAATATATACCAGCCTAGTCCCAAAGGACTTCAAGCAAATGCTGCTTAAGAGAACCTTCAGATCCCCACCCAGCACTCCCCAGCTCTTACCAGCTTTCCTCAATTTTCTCTCTATGGATGGAAATGCCAGCATTGGCTGGCAATGTCCAAACACACCAACTGTCTCCTGCTCACAGGACTGAACTAATAATCTAATCTATTCCTGAGAACTGCAGGCATAATTAAATATCTGAAATTTATTTCCTAGCTGGAAATAAAAATTTCAAAATTATGACATATTATTAAAATTAATACATGCATTATCATGGAACAGTAGGATCATAATCAATTCCTCTCTAATCTGCCTTTTCCTTCCAGAGCACTGCTTTGTCAAGCTTTTATAGTTTGATACAAACAAACCTTTACTTAAAAAGAACTGTCTGTTTCAATATTTCCTTTCATATTCTCATCTCTGTAGAAGAGAACATATCAATGTTCACATCTTAGAAATAGTGGCTTTTTAAATTACTGAGCAACCCCAGTCCCTCAGGGTACACCCAAGAGCTCCCCACAGGTTTGTTTGGGGTTTTGCACCACCACAAGCTTTCCAAGGTCACACTGGTTTCTCACTAAGTGCCTGAGACTCTCGCCATGAATAAAACTCCAATGAACTATGTACAATCCGAGATTTCCTTGCATTTATTTGTAAAGGGATTAAAAAAAATACACACATACTGGAAGTCTAACTTGAAGAGCTCCCTGCAAATTTTAAGTTTTTAGGTCTCAGAGAAATGGAAGTTCACACCCAAAACTGCCAGTTTAAACACCCTGATAATTAAAGCACCCACTTACGTTAACTGAAGCATCACAGGGAACTTCTGGGTATTGCATATACTAAGAGTGGCTAAAATCATCACTGCTTCCTTAAGGATATTGCATTTACTTGTCTTTCCACACTCTGAGGTTTGCGAACACTGAGCAGTGCCACAGACTCACTGAGTCACAGACCACTAAATGTACTTCTGGTGCTGGCCACCAATCACCCTGCTATTCAAAAGAACCCTCTGCCCAGCTCCCATCTCTGCTGTCAGCTATGCCTCCCTGGTTTTGAGGCATCCCAAGCCAGGTTAGCCCTGGAGGCAGCAGCATGGCATCTCCATCCCTTATGTAGCATCAAGGATGGGACACAGGGCTCAGCATGTAGTGGTACCCACAGGCTGCAGGTATTTTTTGCAAGGGTAAACAGTGTGCCAAGCCTTTGGTGGCTGTAACCCCACAGCAGAGCAGGGAGACTGTGCTCCTGGATCCCAGCCAGGATGGACAGACACACAACAGGGACACTTGCTTGGGAACAAGCAGAGTTTTCAAAAGGAGGGGCCACAGCAGCCCCAGCATCCTCACAGTGAAGTCACTCTGCTGATAGCCGGAAAAATACTGCCATCACCAAAGGAAGCCAACAGGCTCTCAACTGACCCAAAATAAACCTAAATGAAATAATTACAGGGCTGCTTTCCAAATTCAAATCAGATTAGATGTGAAGTAAAACAGTGGTGGAAAGCAAAGTCTATTTCTGGTTTCATTGTCAGGCAAAATGTTCCCAATCTGGCATTTGCATGAGCAAACAAGCAGTGAGCTGGATATGCTTGCCATGGCTTAGGGTCTTTTGATGGAAAGGGGAAGAGATTTCAGATTTAGCCTGGATTTGTCACTCATGCCACTGGTTCCTGTTGAGATTGGGAGTAATCAACATCTCAGGTACTCAGGAAGGCTGAAAATGGCTCAGCATAGCCTGTTCCTCTGCTCACTCCATCAGCCCACTGGCTGCACACAACAGTTCTCCCCTCCCTTAGTTAAAGCAACAATAATATCCTGTTGTTTAGATCCTGCACCTCTGTAACCCCAGCTATGTGATCTGTGAACACACCCACAAGTGAATCCAACAGTGACAGACACGTGGGTGTTTCTGAGAAATGGCACAAAAGTGTTCTGATGTTTCACCTTCCCAACTCAAACCCTGTGGATTTTAAAGCAGCAGGAGAAAGCCCTTCCAAAGCCCTACAGCTCCTGTGGTCCAACCACCACAGAGATTGAGAGGAGTACAGTGAAGGGACCATTATGGACACAAACCTTGTGTGGCCAAGGCAGGCTTGCACTCTGAGTCCTACACTGAATTGCCACTGAAACAGCCATTTTTTCCATCACCTGTCTCAGAAACTTTCCTCTCAGTCTCGTCTCTGACCCTGAACTTTCCATTTGAACAGAGATATTCCCACTGTGCTTAAAGCCCACATTCCCAGCCTCACTCCAGAGCGTGCCTTAAGCTGCCCAGTGTCTGCCAGACAGGCAGAGGGTCAGCATTCTCCAGGAAGGTGTTCCTGCCCATCCAAGGGGGTCTAAAACTCACAGATCAGGCAGGAGCTGGGAGCAGAGAGAGACAAAACAGAGCTGGTGTCGCACAGCCCTGAGCCTGCTTCTCTTCTGAATGAGAACATTTGCTGCTTAATACAACTTAAACAGATCTCTCCATGCTCAAATAAGAAGCAAATGGACAGGTGTCCACCTGGATGCTTGATAATGAATCCAGAGAAAACAACTAGGGAAACACGCCCTGAAGGATGCTGACATGTAAAAATCCTCCCCAGGTGCCAGGCTGCAACCAGACAGATCTGCTTCTCTTCCATCCCCTTTTGCTCACCTGGTGCTGGTGGCTCTGCATGTGCATCTGCAGGTGCTGGATGTCCCTCTCCCAGCTGGCTGCTGTCCCCTCTGTGGCCTCAGCTGTCAGCAGGTACACGTCCAGCCCGCGGTGGTGCTTCACGCTGTAGTCCCCCGAGTGCACGGTGTGAGACAGGGTGCTCCACGACTCTGGCTCCCTGGCTCCCTCCCTGCAAAACAAGGCAGGGTTAGCGGCCAGGTGAGCAGGGATCCTGCAGGCTCTCCTTCACTCTGGACAGCATCTAATCATGGGAGTGAGCAGAGTGGCACCGGCTCCAGACAGACAGAAACACACACACACTCCTCAGTCTTGAAAATTAATGTGATTTAGCGCTAATGCCAGCCACAAGCTTTATTTCATAAAGTCCTCCTCAGGTAGAGATCTGTGGTTTTTACCCCAGACTGTGACAGACTAGCAGCCAACGGCACGATAACTGTGTTTTAAATCAGATTTATCACAGGTGAAGATCACCAAAGCAGCTGTCACAGAACAGCAGAAACCTGCAAAGGGATATGTTGGAAACAACGAAAACTATCATGGTACGACTTCTACACCAAAGCCAACACACAAACACCCAACAGCCATCATATTTCAGCAATTTTTTCACTCCTGAAATGAAATCAACCTGCCCTGTGAAACTGCCTCTGTGCAAGATGTTCTCAGTGTTGTGAGACAGCTGTTTTTCTGCAGCACTATCATGGGCTTTCTTTTAACCAATCCAAAGGAAAGAAAGGAAAAAAGATGCTGTAGATCAGAATGAAAAATAGTAGGTAGAAATTTCTATTCAGTCCTCTCTTTTTGAACATCAAACCCTGATTTTGCACCACTCAAAGCAGTAATTCCTCAGGTCTCACCAAACTGCAGAGCAGCTACACTGGCCCATCGAGGTGGTGAGAAAACACTGAGGTGTTCACTACTTCAGGTTCACAGATTTCATTTTGAATCAGAACTGATTCAGGAAACCCAAAATCTGTTTTGACCATCCCAGACAGAGCAGCCTGTGCACCACCCCACCAAGCCCTGCATCCCCCCAGGAGGGACATGGAGCCAAACTCCAGGAATGTTACACGAGCAGGAAATTACACTGACCCTCTCAGGGTGCAAGAAATGGGAATTTCTCCATCTTCCTTCTACCAGGAATGCATCTACTGTCACACAGCCCCATGTATGACCTGGTTTGGGGATTGAACTAGATGACTTTTAAAGATCCCTTCCAAACCAAACTACTCAGTGATTCTATTATGTCCCCTCCCTGTTGCAGAAACTAGCCATTTTAAGATCTCCCGTTCCTGTCCAGCTACAAATTTCCTTGGAAGAGGCAGAGCTGTGATTGTTTTTAAATAATTAGGAATTCAAGAGGGTACATAAATGCAAATGCATGCCATCAACAAGGTAAAACTGCATGTAGATTTCAGAATCCTTGCCGAGAGGTCTTGCTTTAAAATCTGCAAACCTTTTTTATGGGCAAGGGCCCCCTAGCAAACCACAGGGCTATCTCTCTGGGAAGCCAAGCAATCTAGAAAGCAAAGTCATAACGAGCAAACACCATGATCAGCAACAGGAATGGGCAGAGCAGGGTGGGGAAACAGTCAACTGGTTCATCAGAGACAGAGAAACCTGTGCAGGCAATGGCTGCTCCTGCTCTGCCGCAGCACAGCCACCCATCACCTTCTGTGACTCATTTTGGGTTAAATCTCCAAGGAAATTCAGACAAAGGATTACTATGGCTTTCACCATTTTCCACCATTCATCTCAGTAATGACTTGACTTCAGCAGAATTACACTTGACTTAAGGAGAATCAATATTTCCACAGAGAAACAGAAGGAAGCAGTCAGTTTCTGGTAGCAATTGGTCTAAGTCCACAGAGGCACTGAAGTCAACTGAGCCATTACAAGTAATAAAGAAATGACCTTCCTTTATCAAGAAAACACAGACATTTCTGTCTGGAGTGTTTTTCTCTTCAGCTGTCATGTATGAGAAAGCACTGTACAGAGTACAACGAGGCAGTGAGCACAAAGCCCACAGCCACCCACTCATGGGGACAACAGCAGCCAGATTAAAGAACAGCGCGCGATGGATCTGCTCCGCTTTCTCATCAGCTTCAACGACCCTCACAGGCATCTCCAAATCAGCACCCACAAAGCTGCCTGCATGACCTGTTGAGCCTCAGAGGGCTCTCAGCAACTTCAAAAGGCTCAATCTGGAGCAAGATGACAGGCAGAGTCCCCTGCAACACCGCACGTGTGTCCGCCCCTCCAGCAATCCGCAACCTTCACACGGCCCAGATGGATCAGTCACTTCTGCTTACAAAGAGAGCAGTTTCTTTTCATATTCAAGCTGCCAGTCTGTGTTACACTTTATGAAAAGCTTTAAACCTTCTGAGGAAGCAAGGAGTTTCTCACCTTCAGCCAAGTACAAACTCCAAGCTCTCACTTTTAATAGCAGTCACCTTCGTTACACAAAATTAAAGAGTGAGATAGAGAATGGTTCAATCTACTGCCTCCTTCAAACCAGCCCTTTCATACTCTGCTCCATCCCAGCACTAATGCTCTGAAGCAGAGAGGACAAATGAGGATTCACAAGCATTAACTCATTTTCCCACCACTGTTCCTGTTGTTCAGGCAATCACTTCCAAGGCCATTTGAGAAGACACTCCTGCTCATTTGCCCTCACACATTGAGCTTCACTGTTCATGCCTTTCCTGCATGTCTCACTGCAAGGCCTGGGTTCTATTGAGAGATGATAAAAACACAGTTTCTTCCAGGAAAAAAGCTTTGCTGTTATGCATTTTTTTGTACTCCCTGGCTGTGAAAGATGCTTATTTCGTCCAGACTTGGAATTTTTGTAGTGGTTGTATATCCAAGCTGCTCTACTAGGAGATAAAAACAGATATGCAAATACTTACTGAAGATTTATTAGCAAAAATAGGTGTACAAACACTCCAGCCTTCAAGAAGTTTGAAAATCTGCTTTTGTTCAGCACAAAAATCCACTATGTTGTGCTTTGCCAGAAACAACGGAAATCTGTCTTCTTATGAGATTTAACCATCCTGGGTCAAATCTTTCTCATCTTCCCTTTTCAACAGTTTCCCATCAAAATACGTAACAGATACCAGTGAACTGAACATTTTGTAAGAAACATTTATGAGCTCAACTTTCACAGAAGAAAGTATCTTAGTTTAAAAAGCAAGGACTGCCTGAGAGGGCTAATAATGTTCACTAGCTTTACCCTCTGCATAACCGTGCCATGGGCCACTGAAAAAGCCTGGAAGAAGTCCTCCAGCTCTGGTTAGTCTTCTGTGCCATGAAGGCAAACCCAGAAGGGAAATTTTTGGTTGAAATGAAGAACAGACCTACCAGCCCACCCTTCATCTGCAGAAAGGTGGCTTAGAGAAGGATGACAACTTCAGAGAGAGAGGAGAAGCAAAAATACTTCAAAATACTCTCCTGCTCCATCTGGGATCTGATTAGATGCTGAAACTAAAGGATCACCTCCTGCCCATCTGGCATGTAAGACAAGATGATGAATCACAGAATGGTTTGGGAGGGAAGGGAGCTTAAAGATCATCCCAACATGGGCAGGGACACCTTCTGCCAGACCAGGTTGGTCCAAGCCCCATCCAAGCTGGAATGGGACAGTAAGTAGGAAGTGTTTTTGATTTAAACCTCCCAGCACTGCCCAAGTAGACTGGTCCCTTTTCAAAGCAGAGCTACACTGAACTCGTGTGCTGAATCTCTCCTCATCTGGCAGGAGAGCAGCAGAAAAAGGAAGGAAAGCCCACACCGCACGGCCCCTGGCTTCCGGCAGATACGGGCGAGAGATTTTTAACAAGAAGGAAGATAAGTGAGAAAAGGAGAACAAAAAAAAACCCCAAAAAAAACACAACTAACCACCACCTGATCAAAAGCTCTGCCTGGCCTCAAAAGCAGCAGAAACTGCTCAATAACAAGGGAGTGAAATTCAAGGTGCTGGTGCTTGCAGCAGGCACTACCAAGAGACAAGGTTTGAGCTGCAAGGGAGAGGAGGAGGAGGGAGGAAGAGATCAGAAGATGAATGAAAAAGTCTTAAGTGAGTTAAGCAAAACTTTATGTTAGGGAGATCTATCCCACAGTTTTACAAAGGGGTGAGGAAGGCAGTGTGGGAACTCAAGGTGTTATTTCCTGGGAGTATCCTATCCAGATTTCTGACCTGAAACAAAACAAGCTCAGTAACATTGCTAGCTTTTAAGATCTTACTGCAAGCCTGGCAACAGCAGTGGGTTTATTCTGAAAGCATCAGCCTCTAGATCCACATGGCAAAGAAAAAATGAAAAAAAAAAAGGAAATTAAAAAAAAAAAAAATTAAACTAAGCCCATACCATTATGGTTGCATGAAAAGCTAGGAAAAGGCCATAATTTAGATGCTCTTATCTGTAGGGTAAATAAAAATGTAATTAAATTGAATTCTAATCTTACATTCTTTTTATTACTATTATTATGGTATCACAGTGAAAATACCAGATCAGACAGACTGTGATCTGGGATAAACAAGGAAAGGTGCCTACAGGGATAGGATTGGTGGTGATTTTGCAACATGCCCACAGCACAGGCAATTCAAATCAAGCCAACAATCCTGGAAAAACCCAGCACCCACACTCAATGCAGTCACCAGCATTTAAATCAATCTTAGAAATCTGCATTGTATATGAGACCCAGAAAACACATGCACCAGCATGTGTTAGAATGGGGTCAAACATTTTCAAATTTGAAATTTATTTAATAAACACAGAATTCATATTTCAGGTTTTTCTAAGTGTTCCAAATGCCCCAGGAAAGCAGAAAAAAGTATGTTTCTCATATAAGAAAAACCTACATAATGCTCAGTAATTTGAATAGTTTTGATGTTGAAAGAAAGAGTTAAAAATTCATCTGATCTAGAAAAAAAGAGCAACCCCTTACTGTGCCTCGCACAAACATGAACTGCAGTGGTGGGTTCTGACACCAAACTGAATTCAGGATTGCATAACCTACCCTTCAATATCAGACTAAATATTTAATAACTCAATTCAAAATACGTAATGCAAACTTCGCATTGATCAACACACTATACAGCAGCAAATCATAGAGAGAAAAGCTGGCTTGGTCCTTCAACAGTTGTTTGCAGATGCATATATGCTAAGAGAACAGGTC